CGATTCCAAAAATTTCATGGAAAAATTTTGAAAACTGATTGAGTTGTTACAATTTTAATGAGATCAATTCCGCGAATATCGCGAACCAAGATACGAGCAATTTAGTTCATTTTTTGTGGGTTTTCCGCCTTAGTATCCACATTTAAACAGATATAAAGCTATACCTGATAGAGAATATGTAGTTTAGGCTTACCTTTCATATAAAGTAAGTTTCATTTAAAAATATTGATATTTGCCCGAAATATATTTGGACGAAATCTACCAAATTTGGTGCGTATGCCCAAATATGGGCATATGGTTTTTGGCCCATAACTCAGTCATTTTTTGTCCAATCTTGATGAAATTTCATATACGAGTTCAGGAGACCACTAGCTACAAGTAGAGCACCTAAAATCTTGGTTTTGGGCATGTTCAGGGTATTTGGCTAAATTGGGCCTAATTTGGACCAAATATGGGCGTGGCTGCCCCGCGGGCACCGTTTGGCGGTTGGGGTCCGGGACCCCCTCAAAAGTTCGGTCACTGGTCCTAGTTTGTTGGTCAACTGCTATCTCGAAATCAAGTTTCACAAAAAAATATCCATTGTCCCCCCCCCTTAAGCAACTCATCATAAATGATTTATGATAAATCCAGAATTTTAATAATGTCGGAGATTTAAATGCCAAAAAATTTCTGACTTTCTGACATAATGCGATGATATTTTGTGGACATGTTCGATGATGTTATGTCATACATTTTACTTTACTTACTTTACCTCTCCAAAGTTCAGACAAATTAAATAACGGAATTCTTCATTTAAAGAAAGATAAATCTTAAATTTGTATAAGTTCCGGCACAAAGACAGCCTTCTGCCAAACTAGGGAAACTAATAAAATAATTATATAAATCTATTTCCACAAAGATAATATCTAACTGCTAACTAACAATGCTTGAAACCACACCCTTGGTTAAGCGTATCAATATTAAACAGTGCCCCAAGCAACCGTAGCTTGAGACACGTGATATTGATGAATATAATATTTAATATGAAATAAGTGGGATACAATCAGTTGATGAAGCCAACAGGGTGTGACCAGTTCTAGGAACAATAGCTCTGTCATTTCGTAGCTTATTTCTTGGAAAGGTAGTTGCAACAAACCATTAATACTACTTACTAGTTAATCTTGGCTTTTATCTTCATGTACCAGCACAGGTTGTCGCTAAGATGTTCTACTGATATGATATTATAATATATTGTATGTTATTACTTTAAATAGTATATCATACTGAGGACAATATCACGTGACTCAAACAAGCTGCAGCTTCTCATCTCATGTCAAATATTAGCTGTATTTACTAATCTTTTAAGGAAGTCCACTGTAAAATATGAATATCAAGACACAAGGATTACCCTGGCCGAGGCCGGGTAGTACAGGTAAGGACACTAGTACAGGTAAGTAGTGACACACCACTACTAGTACTACTAGAACAAGAATCAGACAACGAATGAGTGTTACACTTCCAATAAAATATTTATAACATTGGTCGAATATTGTCCTTTATCGTCACTACTTGAGTTACCACTTCATGGGAGGGCACTATAACCTTAACTATGGTAACTTACCCATACTCTCAAAATATCCAACTAAATGGTAACCCTGGTAACCTCAGACTAACCACAAGCAACATCGTGGGTGGCCCTGTCAATACTAATCAAGTAGGCTGCTTACATTTATAATCAGACTTCAGAGAGATAATGTAATATATATTATATATAATATATATTACATTATCTCTCACTCATATATTATATATATGTGTGTGAGCACTGAGCTTGTTATTAGTGGAATTGTGTCGACTACTTTACTGTTAGATTAGCTTTACTGTTAGATTAGCTGTGTTCACTTCCGTTTAAAGTAATAATCTTGGTATAAAGAGAACATAGACCAAATCTCTCTATCAATTTTTATCAAAATTTGAGCTAATTCATGATAAGAAAGGTCCATTAAAACAGGCAGCCTTTGGTGATCATGATTCATGGGGTGAATTTTCACAGCGCTGGTACTCATGGTAGGTGGGTGGTTGTTTTTAGGAGTAGTGGATGTTGTCTATAATATAGCTCTATAGTCTATATTATGTGAATAATACCCAATGAACGTCAAGTGAGTTTAGAATGAATATTTCGAAGATTCTGAATAACATTTGCCCCATCCCCAAATCCAAATTTCTCGTTGTTTTTGGGGTATACAAACTTGTTTAGCTTATTTCATTACTTATACCTTGCTGGCGCTGAACTATCAGCAACACGAAATCAAACTGAGTCTATGAATAATATGCAAATAAAATCCGATTAATCAATGATTTATCTCCTTCAGTAGTATCATTTTCAGATCTGCATACTCATATTCTAATAACTTGCTGAATCTAACTATCTAACAGTACTATGACTATTGGTGATAATGGCTATTTTCGATACAATTTTTCATCGCTATAGATTCTAACGATCCTTTTAGAGTTCAAAGTCTAGATCTTTTCATGGTCATAATAGAAAGTTATCTTCCCTGAAAACAGGTTAAAAATACTTGTCTCTAACTCTCAGACGATAGTACAATATAATCTCAAGGCGTCCGCTGCAATAAGCTTGTGTGACATTATAGGGAGTATTAGGAACTCGTCACACTTGCGACCAGTGGAAGATAAACTGAATGGTCGTGAGATTTAGAACATGTCTGATTATCTTTTCGCTCAAAATTCTTCTATAAACTGTGCACAAATAAAAAGTTGTATCTACGATTACATAAATCAAATTTAGCCAATTTGTCAATTGTCGTCGGTATTGAAAAAATTGAAACATTAGCGATAATAATAATGGATGTTTTGACACCTCAATAGATTTGACGTACAGATTCAGAACCAAATCACCTCCAATAATCATGTACCTTCGAATATAAGACGAATGCACCCGAGGTTTAACATTCAAGCAATTTGAACAAAGCCCAGTTTATTGTCTGATAAAGGAAATCCCAGCTAAACTCACACAGAATATAACAGCTGCCATAAAAGCTAGTAAAACGTTTCTTGTTTCCTTAAAATCAGCGTTAGGATCTCTACTCTGATCCTCCTCGAGCAAGTTACAGGAAGATCGTTCTAAATTGTTGGAATGCGGCTAACTGTCAGTCTAGACACCGCAACAGAAATTAAAATGCACCCTTTAATTCCTGTGCAATGGCGCCAATTTAATTGATAAAATCTTCAAATTAACGACACTTGATAATGATAGATTTGACTTTTATCTTTCGACCACTGTGGTTGTATAATGTGAAAAATATACACAAGCGTCTAATAATTGTCTTATAACTTTACGTATTGCTGTGTAATGTTGTACGAAGAAAAACGTTCAATTACCAAATTCTAAATAACAATACACGTTAGTAAAAACCTATTACCTAAATTAACTTACATTACACATACTTCTTTCTTGATACAAACAATTACTTGTTGAGTTCATGGAAAAATATGTCCATCATCAGTTCCGATATAAAACCCGTATATCTTGATCCATCTGTGTTTGGAAACTTTTCCCGGATCGCCAACGCAACACATGATTGAAGTACTTACCGAACCTTTCTATCCAAATCTTGGGAACTTATCAAATTCACAAATGATTTGTAGGCTAAATATCTCCATTTTTAGGTTTCAAATGTGCTTTTGGATAGTCTTCCCGTTTTACAACATCATGAATGGTGAAACTAAACAGGTATCTTGAATATCTAAGTCCTTGTTGCACGTGTCCTTCAACCCCGTGCGTTTAGGTGACATTCCCTGTCTTTACGTAGTGCTCCCAGTCCTTCTCTTGGTAGTCACAGTGAACGAGGATGATACAGAGACTACTATCACTACCCAATCGTAAGGACGTGAAGAACTCTCTTAAAGGTGTTCGAGTTAAAGATGAATGGGTAAGTAATGGCACGACAGTCCTGAGTTTTCCAACTGAAGATGACATGAAAGAAGATGAAAGAGCTCTGACACAAAAATGAAAGTCAGTTAACGACAATTCAAAGTCAATAGAACCAAAGAAGTTAGATCCCAAACTAACAATATCTGACATTCACCTTGATTTTGACATCGAAGAAAAGATCTGTATAACTTTTAACGGATAGTAGAATCCACCCCAAGCTCTGGTGCAACGTGATAGTACAATCTTCCTGATTTAGAGAGAAGACGCTGAACTCTCCGGAGATTACTGGCGTTGAAGAGCCCGTTAATAAATAATAACCCGTTGATAACGGCCACTCAAAAAAAGCAAACGTGTACACAAATCTTGAAAAGCGCGCGAATAAACATACGTTCGCGCTCTTATTTGCTCAATGATTTGATAGCGCGTTACATTTTACCATCTATGTAGACCCAAATTGAGAGACAGCTGCTCGGACAGTTGCTAGATTGACAAGCGAGCAACTGCAAATTAAAAATACGAGACTACCGAGTGATCAAATACAAGTATTCTGCTACTACGCGATACTGGCAGAGTAAAGGGCAGGAAAACCAAATACCAATTCTCCCCAGCGAGACTTGGTGAGCAAGTTAAAGAAGATAAATAACAAAGAAGGGTAATTAAGTGAACACAAAGCTTACAGAGTATTGTATTGAACCGGTATCTAATTAAATTTAATCCCCCGGCCTGATTCTGCAGAATAGATAGCACGAAACAGTGAATATTCCATATATGGGATAATGTTATAATGGTTCGAGCCTTAAACACTCAAATAAGACGAAAACACACTCTCTCATAAACTTCAATCTTAATGTCATTCTGTAATAATGCTATAAATAAAATGAATAGCGATGAGTTCCTCCGTCGATCTTATTCTCTCTATTTATCAAGTTAAATGTTATCTAACAATTTAAGTTAATCTCAAATTCAATATTTACAGGCCTCAAGACAATACGAACTGCACAACACCACGACAAAACTTTTATATTTTGTAAAATCATAAACTTATATTATAAATACAAGTACTAACCACATTCTCAGCGAACTGAGCGATGGAATCGTACTGTATGGAGTTTAACGAGAGAACACTCTGTCTTGTTCCCCTGAGAGGAATGAGAATTCAGCATATTTAACATATTTAACATATTTAACATATTTTACACTTTTTAGTATAGACAAATAACTCTCAGATTACATGATAAGACTAACAATAAAAATGAACTTTAAAATCTAAAAGTAAAGTAAGGAAATACCTGGCCGTGTCCATATCAGTGTTATCGTAAAATACAGATTCAGTGTCCATGTTGTCAGAATTTGTCTTGGTTTGGTCTACCTGAAAACAATTAATAGCTGTTATCTCTCTTTATCTCTCTTTACTCGAATAGATACGTTACATTCCATATTTATTCAGAGAGTTCGCTTGAAAACACACATAAACCATTTAGATGGAAATTGGAAGCGTTAGAATAGCATTTACGTATAGACGTATTTTAAGAAATTCTCGGAATTATCTGCAATTTAACTGAAAGGATAACGTCAAAGCTTCTGTGGAAGAGTAATAGAAATTTAAAAAGTGAAAATAACAAACCCACCATAACATGGACTTGCATAAAGACAAGCCCAGAACAACCAAACACACAGAGCTCCATACATGCCTTTTAACGTAATATAAGTTCATGTAAAATCCGGATTGGAGTATTGTTTATGAGTCGCATGGTTGCAATTTATTCTTGTGTAAAATTGTGGGATGCGTTACCATTTACTCGGAAATGCGTGACTACTCAGACTGGTAATCATCTTAATAGTCCTGAAAAATCTGTCGGCGCGTTCGCGTGTAATTTACTAATGACTCAATCAAGAAAACGGTAGGAGGTATGGGATTGATTTTCCCGATAATATAGTGCCGAAAAAAATCTGAAGCAAATTTATTTAACCTTTATTAAATCGGCCAACGGAGAGTCAGAGAGTGGTTTAATTGTTGTTTTTTACATATCATCAGTAATATATGCACGGTAATTTATCACAGCATGAGCACTGAGCAGTAGTTATATCTGAACTATATACGATGTCTAATATGATCACGACATATAATATAAGATTCATCATATTCGTTTTTGATGTAGATGGGGCACTGGGCAGTCACTATCTAGCGATCTTTTGCTGAGTTTATATTTGTTTACCACCCCAATCAAATTAATCAGAAAATTGGCAGTTAATAGTTATACTGAATTACTGGAATAATTGTGCTAATTTGCAAGACTAGTTCCACAGAACTTCTGAAATACAGTCATATTGAACTATGCGAAAACTAAGATTGAAGCTTGAAGCGAAAGCATAAACGATTGAAGTTAAATGTGACTGAAGGCTTGAGTTCTTGTCGGCTTATTAACACACTATAAATACTTCCGAGTTCCGATCAAATTGTATTAAATGCTTTCTAGTATAATAAGCAGTCACATCACTGCTTGGAGTGTGATAACATTATTTTCACAACGAGTTTGACGAGTTGGATAAAACGAGTTACATAACGAGTTTGACGAGTTATGTAACTCACGTTATCACACTCCAATCAGTGATGTAAATGTACCAATACAAGGTTTTACTCTCTTTTCCATAACTCTCTGAAAGAATCATGGAAAAGTAAAACGCTCCATCTATCTTGTTGATATTCGTAACACCAATTCAAATTGGGAAGAAAACGAGCCGGTAAAGAAAGAGCCGGTAAACCTAATACAGGTTAGAACGGTCGAAATATAAAATAAATACCTGCACATCATCTCTATGTCTGTAAACACTAGCAAACCCGCGCACAATGTGTGTTGCTACTCTGACCTTGTGTTTGTGCCCTGTTGGAGGGGATGTTTGTTATATAATACAACTTTCTACATCTGTAGTTAGGTAAACAGTAAAACAGTTCCCAGTGTGACGTTCTGCATGTGCAAAATAAACCAGGTTCAATAAAGTATAGTGCTAATATCACTCCATTGTATAGTGCTAATATCACTCCATTGTATAGTGCTAATATCACTCCATTGTATAGTGCTAATATCACTCCATTGTATAGTGCTAATATCACTCCATTGTATAGTGCTGATATCACTACATTGTATAGTGCTAATATCACTCCATTGTATAGTGCTAATATCACAATATTGTATAATGCTAATATCACTCCATTGTATAGTGCTAATATCACTCCATTGTAGTGCTAATATCACTACATCGTATAGTGCTAATATCACTCCATTGTATAGTGCTAATATCACTACATTGTATAGTGCAAAATTTATTACATTACTCGAAATGCGTGACTATTCAGATGGTAATCATCAATAGTCCTGAAATCTGTGCGCGTGCTGTAATTACGATGACCATCCATGTAAACGTGAGTATGGATTGATTCTTCGTAATTGTGCGAAAAAAATCGAAGCACATTTATATACCTTATATCGTCCATGGAGTCAGTGATGTTATATTGTTGTTTATTACATCATCTGTATATGCCGGTAATTATCACACATTGTAGTACTAATATCACTCCAAATTGTATAGTGCAATATGATCACAACATATAATGATAAGATATATCATAATCGTTTGATGTAGCTGCACTGGCATCACTATCGAGCATATTAGCGATCTATTTGCGATTATATGTGTTACCACCAATCAAATAATCAAAATTGGCAGTAATAGTTATACGATTTGGATAATTGTGCTAATTGCAGCTATTCAGTATTCTGATATACATCATTGTAACTATGCGAAAACTAATTGAAGCGAAGCATACACGATTGAAGTAAGTGAATGAAGGCTTGACTTCATTGAACTATGCGAAACTAAGATTAGCGAAAGCATTAACGATTGAAGTTAAATGTGATGATATCTTGAGTTCTTGTACCTTAGTAACACAATAAATACTCCATATTGTACTAAATGCTTTGTAGTATAATAACATCACATCATGCTTGAGTGTATAACTTATTTTCACACATTGTAGAGTGATAAGTCACTAACGAGTTGTATAGTGTAATTCACTACATTGTATATCAATCAATCGGTATGTATATGTACCAATACAAGTTTCCATCTGATAATCATGGAAAAGTAACGCTCCATTATATGTGTAATATTCGAACACCATAATATGGAATGAAAACAGCCGGTAAAGATAAGCGGTAAATCTAATCCAGTGTAAACGGTCGAAATATAAAATAAATACTGCACTCTCCTATGTCTTAACATAGCAAACCCGTACAATTGTTAGTTGCTACTCTGACCTTGCTAATATCCACTCCATTGCTTAGTAGTAATATCACTCCATTGTATAGTGCTAATATCGCTCCATTGTATAGTGGGTAATATCACTCAATGTATAGTGGTAATATCACTCCATTGTAATAGTGCTAATATCACTTCATTGTATAGTGCTAATATCACTCATTGTATAGTGCTAATATCACAACATTGTATAGTGCTGATATCACTACATTGTATAGTGCTAATATCACTCCTTTGTATAGTGCTATATCACTCCATTGTATAGTGCTAATATCCACTCCATTGTATAGTGCTAATATCACTCCATTGTATAGTGCTAATATCACTCCATTGTATAGTGCTAATATCACTACATTGTATAGTGCTAATATCACTACATTGTATAGTGCTAATATCACTCCATTGTATAGTGCTAATATCACTCCATTGTATAGTGCTAATATCACTCCATTGTATAGTGCTAATATCACTCCATTGTATAGTGCTAATATCACTACATTGTATAGTGCTAATATCACTCCATTGTATAGTGCTAATATCACTCCATTGTATAGTGATGATATCACTCATTGTATAGTGCTAATATCACTCCATTGTATAGTGCTAATATCACTCCATTGTATAGTGCTAATATCACTCCATTGTATAGTGCTAATATCACTCCATTGTATAGTGCTAATATCACTCCATTGTATAGTGCTAATATCACTCATTGTATAGTGCTAATATCACTTCCATTGTATAGTGCTAATATCACTACATTGTATAGTGCTAATATCACTCCATTGTATAGTGCTAATATCACTCCATTGTATAGTGCTAATATCACTCCATTGTATAGTGCTAATATCACTCCATTGTATAGTGCTAATATCACTCCATTGTATAGTGATAATATCACTCCATTGTATAGTGCTAATATCACTCCATTGTATAGTGCTAATATCACTACATTGTATAGTGCTAATATCACTCCATTGTATAGTGCTAATATCACTACATTGTATAGTGCTGATATCACTACATTGTATAGTGCTAATATCACTCCATTGTATAGTGCTAATATCACTCCATTGTATAGTGCTAATATCACTCCATTGTATAGTGCTAATATCACTCCATTGTATAGTGCTAATATCACTCCATTGTATAGTGCTAATATCACTTCATTGTATAGTGCTAATATCACTACATTGTATAGTGCTAATATCACTCCATTGTATAGTGCTAATATCACTCCATTGTATAGTGCTAATATCACTCCATTGTATAGTGCTAATATCACTACATTGTATAGTGCTAATATCACTCCATTGTATAGTGCTAATATCACTCCATTGTATAGTGCTAATAACACTCCATTGTATAGTGCTAATATCACTCCATTGTATAGTGCTAATATCACTCCATTGTATAGTGCTAATATCACTACATTGTATAGTGCTAATATCACTCCATTGTATATTGCTAATATCACTCCATTGTATAGTGCTAATATCACTCCATTGTATATTGCTAATATCACTACATTGTATAGTGCTAATATCACTCCATTGTGTAGTGCTAATATCACTCCATTGTATCTAGTGCTAATAACACTCCATTGTATAGTGCTAATATCACTCCATTGTATAGTGCTAATATCACTCCATTGTATAGTGTTAATATCACTACATTGTATAGTGCTAATATCACTCTATTGTATAGTGCTAATATCACTCCATTGTATAGTGGTAATATCACTTCATTGTATAGTGGTAATATCACTTCATTGTATAGTGCTAATATCACTCCATTGTATAGTGCTAATATCACTCTATTGTATAGTGCTAATATCACTCCATTGTATAGTGCTAATATCACTACATTGTATAGTGGTAATATCACTACATTGTATAGTGCTAATATCACTCCATTGTTTAGTGCTAATATCACTCCATTGTATAGTGCTAATATCACTCTATAGTAGTGATATTTGTACAATAATCAAACTTGCTTAAAAGATTATTTAGCTAAAACCACTCAAGATAAGTTATTTAAGAGTCGCGCAATAAAGGAGTGACATTATCGTACGTAGCATGATAATGGTGCAATTGTTTACAGTATTAATACAATCATGGTATAATATTAATGTTATATCATAATAACAATTTAATAGCAAAATATCAATCTAATATATCAATATGATAAGATTGTGATCATCAGTTAAAAATAAAGGAATTGTACGTGCTTTATAATTTTTTCCGGGAATTATATCCCCGAAAAGTCGTGAACACTGGTAACCGATAATTACCGGTCAACGTCGGGCATTATAGCCCGTAGCACTCAACAGCCAAGGTATAATCAAGTATTATAATATTACTCTCGTATAACTCACGATCAACCTCTTCAACATGGTTAGCTACCTTCCTCGTGTTGGTTTGTTAATCATTATATGAGCAGTAAACATTAATTTGATTCTATTAATTAATACAGTATAGCATGGCATATAGTATTATTTTATTACAAAATACAATGGTATTATATCACTATAATAGTACGCCATAACCACGTTTATTTTACTGGCACTAAAACCGTAGAATCTAGCATTTTAAATGATATTTAAATTGCACGAACAGTGAACTGTCGAGATTATATCGTTGAGCTGTATAACCCAATTCCACTCTTTAAACTAATGTGATAACTGAAAATGGTAAACAGGTTGATTTGAAACTTTCATCAATTTATAATACAGAAATGTACAGCATGGGAACTTGAATAAAATGAAATGGAGACAAAGAATGTTTAAGCTAGGATAATTATACTTGGACTGGTTAGGGCAGGAACAAGCAGTGAACAAGCTAGGAACAAGCAAGCAGAATTTGACTGTGCATTATAACATGTATAATATGGTTGGGGAAACCAGTAACATCCATGTTAGAACACATGTACATTGTGCATTGTGCTGGCGTACTTACTTCGCGTGGAGGACTAGATGCATATATTGAGGTATTTGAGATAGAATTATCATTCAAATAAGTTTATTTTTATTTTAGGTCTAGTAAAAGAGTAGAAATTGTCAGGAAATGTGGTTTACTGTCCGGGTAACCGGAATATGGTGGAAATCTCCACTCTGGGATATCAAAAGGGACTCTATATGGCCTCAATAAATACTCGATAACCGACTCTTTAAGGACTCTAATTGAAATTTATACGGCCGCCTCTATACGAACTCTATACGAACAGAAATTTAAAAATTAGCTAGGAATCAGGTCATGTGTTCACTTAAAATGGTTGGCCAGTTGGTAGATCACCGACCGGCTATAAGCCGGCTACTAACCGGCTATAAGCCGGCTTATATATACCGGCTATAAGCCGGCTTATAGCCGGCTTATAGCCGGTTAGTAGCCGCTTACATTTGTTGTTGAGCGACGGCTATTAGCCGGTTATAAGCCGGCTATTAGCCGTTTTGGTATTAAAAGTGGTTAATAAGCCGGTTTATAGCCGGCTTATAACCGGCTTATAGCCGGTCGGTGATCTACCAATTTCCCAAATGGTTATGTTTGTGGTTATGTAAAATGTTTGGACAATTGCAATACCTGGTTTAGTATTGGCTGTTAAATTACATCAAATATCTCATTTTTCTAAATACAAACAAGAACAACAGCTTTAAAAAGTGAAGATATCCGCTCTGTGCGTAATGTACATAACACCACACCTTGAGCCTCACGTAACTAAAACCATTATAATGTCCTGAAATAACCAACACCATCTTAGAACATTATATTTTGGTAAAGCTCTAACAGGAGCACATAATCCCAATTATTCCACTTTCAAGCGGAGTGGCTTTTAAGTAAAACTTCTAGAGAGAGAGAGAGGGATGGAGGAGAGAGAGAGAGAGAGGAGAGAGAGAGAGAGAGAGAGAGAGAGAGAGAGAGAGAGGAGAGAGAGAGAGAGAGAGAGAGAGAGAGAGAGAGAGAGAGAGAGAGAGAGAGAGAGAGAGAGAGAGAGAGAGAGAGAGAGAGAGGGAGAGAGAGAGGGATGGAGGAGAGAGAGCTGGACCTGTATATAACACAGTGAGATAAAGTGGAGACCAATGTACAGAGTGTGGTGATCAAGGTGTCCGTTAAGAGTGTGGAGTTAAGATTTGATTGCTTTTGATGTACAATAGTTCTACTGTGCTCAGCTATTGACTGTATTGCGATCAGGTACTGTTTACAATGTAACGAGTATGAAATGAGTCTAAACAAAGTTGCAGCACCCTTACCTTCCGGCTATCAAGATATTTAGTAGTTTAGCAGAAATCTGATCAACGAAACCAGCTAGTTGAACATCGACGTATCTTTTATTAGAAGCTTAATCAGCATTGAAGTAGTAAGTACTGTAAAACTAAACTGGAATAACCCCCCGTTAATACACCCTAACTCCAGTAGGTACCTGCCCACTGCCCACTCCTACTTGCTCCGAGACGCCCACGTGCTCGCCGTGGAGATGTCCACTTTGCGTTTATACAACTTGTACTAAGTACTGTATCACCACGTTAATAACTCATACAGCGTTTGAACGCTAGCTAGTTTGGAAGCAATTCCTGACCGCTCCTAAGCTGCTCTAGGGCAAATCTAGAGTGGCTTTTATAAATGGTATGTTCTGGTGATTATAAGAAATCGAGCTGGCTGTCATTTGGAGACTTTGCCGAAAAGTAAAAACTTCTTCAAACACTTTTCTTAGAGAAGAGCTCGAAATACAGCAACATTTCCCCCCAACCATCAGGGCCTATTAGTATAGTCTCTATTAGTCTCTATTAGCTGTCATAGTTCTCAGAAAATAACTTTTCATTGTGGAGTACAAGGTGACATTGTTACTTTGTTTCATAGGATCAGTGTAAGTTGAAACACCAGTATACACATTTAGTGACAGTTCACCCACTAGTACAAAGGGGGGCCTTGCTTGTCAAAACCAATTATAATCAGGCAATAAGAGAAGAGGAGGAAATCTGGATGCGTGTAAACTTTTACACTGTAAGTGTAATATTAACTGATAGGAGACACGGTGCACGTGACCCAGTGCACCCTAGTTTTACACACAGCTAACAGCTTGTTGATTAGATCAGATAGATGCTTAATGAGCGACCCAGGCACCGGTTTTATGAACATGATTTAATATCATAACTGTGGAACAAAACATAAAGTAAATAGTTTTAATGTTAATAATTAATGTAAATTAGTTATGTAAAATGTAAAATATGCCCACCTATAGTGCCGTTAGCTGACTTAATAGTTAACCCTGCGTGCCCGAAGTGAGCCAAGAACCGTTCAGTGCTCGTCAGGTCCGTCATGAACACGTGACACGTGTGTTTTCTGTTCTTCTCTGTTATCAGACCGAAATACCTGAACATACCACGATGTTATCAGACCGAAATACCTGAACATACCACGATGTTATCAGACCGAAATACCTGAACATACCACGATGTTATCAGACCGAAATACCTGAACATACCACGATGTTATCAGACCGAAATACCTGAACATACCACGATTTTATCAGACCGAAATACCTGAACATACCACGATTTTATCAGACCGAAATACCTGAACATACCACGATGTTATCAGACCGAATTACCTGAACATACCACGATGTTATCAGACCGAAATACCTGAACATACCACGATGTTATCAGACCGAAATACCTGAACATACCACGATGTTATCAGACCGAAATACCTGAACATACCACGATGTTATCAGACCGAAATACCTGAACATACCACGATTTTATCAGACCGAAATATCTGAACATACCACGATGTTATCGTACTATTTAACTACTAAAATACCTGAACATCCAATGCAATGATATGAAGTTTAGATAGGTACTTTAAAATAACTGTTAATTAGTCGCTCAGTTGCAGAGGCACATATTAGGTGCGGTAAAAAAATCGAAATTATGCGGTACCGCACCCGACTATAAAGGTAAAATGTGCGGTAAGTTGCGGTAAATTTTTACCAATTATGCGGCAAATGTGCGGCGATTTTTTCGAAATTTGTGCGGGAATTGTGCGGTTTTCTTTTGCATTTTCTCAAGGACTTTGGAAATTCTAAACGTATAACCGCCGCTCTTATCAAAAATAGGTCTGTTTATGTGTTACTGAGGGTGTAGTTCTTTACTAAGACCATGATTGAACCTATATTGAGATTCAGTTATCTGAGAACAGTGACTTAGAGTAATCAGATGATGTGGTGAAGTTACGAATGATAACTGATAAACTATGGTAAAGTATGGTAACGACGAGGGTTTCATAACGGCCTGGGTCACGGTCCCGAAAGGGCCTGGGTCACGGTCCGAAAGGGCCTGGATCACGGTCCCGAAAGGGCCTGGGTAACGGTCCCGAAAGGGCCTGGGTCACGGTCCCAAAAGGGCCTGGGTAACGGTCCCGAAAGGGCCTGGGTCACGGTCCCGAAAGGGCCTGGGTCAGGGTCCCGAAAGGGCCTGTGTCACGTGGTAACTGGGTCACGTGGCCTAGGTATGAGTTCCAAAAGGGCCTGGGTCACGGTCCCGAAAGGGCCTGAATCACGGTCCTAAAAGGGCCTGGGTCAGGGTCCCGAAAGGGCCTGAGTCACGGTCCTAAAAGGGCTTGGGTCAGGGTCCCGAAAGGGCCTGAGTCACGGTCCTAAAAGGGCCCGACTATAACATATTTTGGTTTTTACACTCGAAAATCTTAACGCGAAAATTTCAAAATTATGCGAAATTACGCGGAAAATGCTAGATTATGCGGAAATATGCAGAAAATTACAAAATGTGCGGACATGTGCGGAAAACAATAAATTATGCGGACATGTGCGGAAAAAGGTAAATTGTGCGATCCCGCACCCATCGCACCTAATATGTGCCTCTGCTCAGTTGACAGGGTCTATTGATGTGATATATTTAAAATGTACCGTATAATGAGGGCAGATGACAGAGAATACTAGCAAGTCAGCAAAGCAAGTGCGCCAAATGCGACAATTACTCCCCTCCTTCATTTTAACCCCACCTACTACTAAAAAAGGCCATTAATTCGACAAATCCAAACGTAACATAATAAACAAGACGCCTCGCTTGAGAAAGTGACGGCGAAGTCGTGACACTGCAACACCTAAACCTTTCTCAGGAAGTGAGAACACGCACTTCCTCGCCCTTAAAAGGAGACTAGATCGCTGTAAACGCAATTTTAATCAGACAATTCAATTTTAACCAGACAAGATGACGTCACCAGGCTCCAGAAGGAGTTAAGGAGCAGAGTTTCGATAAAAACTTACCGTTTATCTTTGGGCCACATGCCACAGTATCTAAGAGATAGGATATTGTAGAACGCAAGGGTTTTGTCTGCTGCGTTAGCCACGCTTATACCACGTGAGTTGACCTCCATCGTTACTATTGTCTCAACATTTGTATCGTACTGGGGAAGATAGAGCATTAGGGTGGGGTGTGAGCTAAAAGGTCTGATAACATTGAGTGAACGCATGGGTAAGTGTAAACCACTCTCGGACATAACAATCGCTTACAAAATGTAGAAACCTTTTGAAAAGATTATGTCAGTAATATCTGCCCATACCATCACTAAGACTCTAAGATTTTGAGGCTACTTACAAAGTACAGTGTCATATTGTCAGAAAAGTAAAATCTTAACAGATCTGATCAGCATTCTAAAACCTACCATGCAGTTATTGCAGCCCAATTAAGGCATGATAACCTGAGGTTTACCTGTTTCAAGAGTTCTATAGTTGAGTAGATAGAGTCGAGGTCTACAGAGTGAGCGTGCAGGTCATGTGACCCAATGTAGAGTAGAGTTGTCAGCATTGTTGGTTGCGGGTGGGTGGCGTTGCTCACGCGTGTTATGGTCGGGTACTGACAGTATTTACACTGCGACCTGGGGGCGAGGTGTTATGGTAGGGTACTGACAGTATTTACACTGCGACCTAGGGGCGAGGTGTTATGGTCGGGTACTGACAGTATTTACACTGCGACCTGGGGGCGAGGTGTTATGGTCGGGTACTGACAGTATTCAAACTGCGACCTGGGGGCGAAGTGTTATGGTAGGGTACTGACAGTATTTACACTGCGACCTGGGGGCGAGGTGTTATGGTCGGGTACTGACAGTATTTACACTGCGACCTGGGGGCGAGGTGTTATGGTAGGGTACTGACAGTATTTACACTGCGACCTGGGGGCGAGGTGTTATGGTAGGGTACTGACAGTATTTACACTGCGACCTGGGGGCGAGGTGTTATGGTAGGGTACTGACAGTATTTACACTGCGACCTGGGGGCGAGGTGTTATGGTCGGGTACTGACAGTATTTACACTGCGACCTGGGGGCGAGGTGTTATGGTCGGGTACTGACAGTATTTACACTGCGACCTGGGGGCGAGGTGTTATGGTAGGGTACTGACAGTATTTACACTGCGATCTGGGGGCGAGGTGTTATGGTAGGGTACTGACAGTATTTACACTGCGACCTGGGGGCGAGGTGTTATGGTCGGGTACTGACAGTATTTACACTGCGACCTGGGGGCGAGGTGTTATGGTAGGGTACTGACAGTATTTACACTGCGACCTGGGGGCGAGGTGTTATGGTCGGGTACTGACAGTATTTACACTGCGACCTGGGGGCGAGGTGTTATGGTCGGGTACTGACAGTATTTACACTGCGACCTGGGGGCGAGGTGTTATGGTAGGGTACTGACAGTATTTACACTGCGACCTGGGGGCGAGGTGTTATGGTAGGGTACTGACAGTATTTACACTGCGACCTGGGGGCGAGGTGTTATGGTCGGGTACTGACAGTATTTACACTGCGACCTGGGGGCGAGGTATTATGGTCGGGTACTGACAGTATTTACACTGCGACCTGGGGGCGAGGTGTTATGGTCGGGTACTGACAGTATTTACACTGCGACCTGGGGGCGAGGTGTTATGGTAATTGGTAGGGTACTGACAGTATTTACACTGCGACCTGGGGGCGAGGTGTTATGGTCGGGTACTGACAGTATTTACACTGCGACCTGGGGGCGAGGTGTTATGGTCGGGTACTGACAGTATTCACACTGCGACCTGGGGGCGAGGTGTTATGGTCGGGTACTGACAGTATTTACACTGCGACCTGGGGGCGAGATGTTATGGTAGGGTACTGACAGTATTCACACTGCGACCTGGGGGCGAGGTGTTATGGTCGGGTACTGACAGTATTTACACTGCGACCTGGGGGCGAGGTGTTATGGTCGGGTACTGACAGTATTTACACTGCGACCTGGGGGCGAGGTGTTATGGTCGGGTACTGACAGTATTTACACTGCGACCTGGGGGCGAGGTGTTATGGTAGGGTACTGACAGTATTTACACTGCGACCTGGGGCATGGGGGCGAGGTGTTATGGTCGGGTACTGACAGTATTTACACTGCGACCTGGGGGCGAGGTGTTATGGTAGGGTACTGACAGTATTTACACTGCGACCTGGGGGCGAGGTGTTATGGTAGGGTACTGACAGTATTTACACTGCGACCTGGGGGTGAGGTGTTATGGTCGGGTACTGACAGTATTTACACTGCGACCTGGGGGCGAGGTGTTATGGTCGGGTACTGACAGTATTTACACTGCGACCTGGGGGCGAGGTGTTATGGTAGGGTACTGACAGTATTTACACTGCGACCTGGGGGCGAGGTGTTATGGTCAGGTACTGACAGTATTTACACTGCGACCTGGGGGCGAGGTGTTATGGTCGGGTACTGACAGTATTTACACTGCGACCTGGGGGCGAGGTGTTATGGTCGGGTACTGACAGTATTTGCACTGCGACCTGGGGGCGAGGTGTTATGGTCGGGTACTGACAGTATTTACACTGCGACCTGGGGGCGAGGTGTTATGGTAGGGTACTGACAGTATTTACACTGCGACCTGGGGGCGAGGTGTTATGGTCGGGTACTGACAGTATTTACACTGCGACCTGGGGGCGAGGTGTTATGGTAGGGTACTGACAGTATTTACACTGCGACCTGAGCTGGGGGCGAGGTGTTATGGTAGGGTACTGACAGTATTTACACTGCGACCTGGGGGCGAGGTGTTATGGTAGGGTACTGACAGTATTTACACTGCGACCTGGGGGCGAGGTGTTATGGTCAGGTACTGACAGTATTTACACTGCGACCTGGGGGCGAGGTGTTATGGTCGGGTACTGACAGTATTTACACTGCGACCTGGGGGCGAGGTGTTATGGTCGGGTACTGACAGTATTTGCACTGCGACCTGGGGGCGAGGTGTTATGGTCGGGCACTGACAGTATTTACACTGCGACCTGGGGGCGAGGTGTTATGGTAGGGTACTGACAGTATTTACACTGCGACCTGGGGGCGAGGTGTTATGGTCGGGTACTGACAGTATTTACACTGCGACCTGGGGGCGAGGTGTTATGGTAGGGTACTGACAGTATTTACACTGCGACCTGAGCTGGGGGCGAGGTGTTATGGTAGGGTACTGACAGTATTTACACTGCGACTGGGGGCGAGATGTTCGTTTACAAAATTGGTTAATAAGGTTCTCGAGTTAGGTAATATGAGTGTTTAAAACAACAATTACGAACTTCATTTCTGCATTTCCTTTCAGTTCAAAAACAACTACTGATTATTTATAAAGTACCAGCTTTTGAATTTTCGTTTCAATTTTTTGAGGAAATTGATGGGCATTATATTTTTTTAAAGCAATTTTTTTGACATTTAAGCAATTTTTAGTTACGAATTGTTTTTCTTCTATACATTGCTATCCTTGTTTCATCATAAATACAAAATTCTGTGTGTAAGACTAATCATTATTAATAAATAGCACTAAACATTATGCAATCCCAGCTCTCAAATTTATCAAAATGTAGAAAAACCCCTTTTAGACAGTTTAAATCATCGAGCTCTTTAAATCGGTAATTGGATGTTTGCCAGCAAAATCTAATACAAATTAATAATAATTGACGAACTGGCAGGTACATGATTTCATTATAACTTCTTAGATTACCAAAGAAAACACACAAAAGATCCTTGCTTATTTTATTAACTCCACGAGAACTTTCAATAATTGGTTTAGCTTAGCATCAAAGGAATTAAATATTGTAAATTCTCCAGAAAATATTTTATGCACAAAATGTGAGACAAACCCAAAATCGAGAAATATTTCGACATACATATTTTCAGCGTTAGACTAGAAACTGAGAGTTCGAATTCAGTAAATAGTGTTTAAGGTTATGATATCCCAATTCACTAAAATGCAGCAAAACCGAATTTATATTCCAGACAGTTTAATTACTATTAGCAACCTGTTTATATTACCTCAAGAAGTAATATACTACCGCGACAATTGACCCCCCGACAATTGTCGCAAGAACTCAATTGTTAAGTAAAACTCTGTCTGCCAGAGAAAATGCACAATGGAAGTGGCTCTTGTAACGTGACGCTACCGTCACTGGGTGCTGCAAATCGATTAAAAATGACATTACATATAAGAGCTAACGGTCGAAAACAGACATACTGGTAGCAAGCTCGTGTATAGAGTAAGAGATGTGGTGTATCTACATTATAATGGCTTTCTAATAATGGCTTTCTCATAAAGGGTACCAAAACCTTTTAACACCCTTGAATTCTGCAGATTTGAGGAAGTAAGACGCTCTCGAAATGCAGGATTATCGAGAGACTCTCAATGATATTAGTTTAATAAGAGTTTCTTATTAAATTTGTCACAGTATGATTTGGATAAGCTCTAATCCTAGGATGTTATCAGTTTAAGGAGTATATTTACTGACATAGTTTATGTCACAGTGCTGTTTTGAGAACTAAAACTGGTAGTTTTGTTTAGTCGGTCTTCCATTTTATTTGAATCTTAGTATTTGGGCCGAGCTATATAGTTATTTTCACACTACTGCACTGAGTAGTGTCACTTAATAGTAGGTAATGGTATAGATACCATTTATTATTAATTATGCTACTCTACAAAAACACATACCGAGTTAAAAAGATAGTTCCTCCCGCCTCGAGGTTATATAAAACTTATATAAAATTATAAACTTACAAATTCATAAACTTACAAACTTACAAACTTACAAACTCATAAACGTATAAACTCACCCCTCAAGGTCACGGGTGACCACAACTGCAACATTGCTCTTGGACCTCATGAAGTTAATGACCACCTCGTGAGGTGCATGTTTGACTGAGAGACCGTTTATAGAGATGAGGATGTCGTTCTTCTGAAGCCCTGCCAGGTCAGCAGGGGAGCCCGGTGCTATGGAGTCAACCACTGGAGGGTTCTCTCCTGGACAGTTCATCGTGAGAAATATTTAAGTGGTGGAAGGGAGTATTAAGGGGGCCGGGGGGGGGTCTTCATCAAAATTCTCTCGAAATTGACTTTATAGTTGTTTCTGATAGAGGGGAGTGATATCTACCAGCTGCTTTTGGTCCCATGGAAAAATATTGTTCCTAGCCGAAATTATCGCCGGTCTAAGGTCCGCGCTTATGTGTAATTGTATTGCGCGAGCGATTTTCAATCGCAAATTTTGAAAATCGAGTCTAAAAATCTATCTTCTCCTACATTTTTTGAGCAATCACCCTGAAACTTTCAGGATATGTTCTAGGGACCATTTAGAAGAGATCGTTCAAGCCAAAATTTTGAGATAGGCCTTTAAAAAATTTTAATTCAATTTTGAAAATCTTGGACCTGAAAAAATCGTAAAAAACGAGGTCCAAGATTTTCAAAATTTAATAAAAAAATATTAAAGGCCTATCTCAAAATTTTGGCTTGAACGATCTCTTCTAAATGGTCCCTAGAACATATCCTGAAAGTTTCAGGGTGATTGCTCAAAAAATGTAGGAGAAGATAGATTTTTAGACTCGATTTTCAAAATTTGCGATTGAAAATCGCTCGCGCAATACAATTACACATAAGCGCGGACCTTAGACCGGCGATAATTTCGGCTAGGAACAATATTTTTCCATGGGACCAAAAGCAGCTGGTAGATATCACTCCCCTCTATAAGAAACAACTGTAAAGTCAATTTCGAGAGAATTTTGATGAAGACCCCCCCCCGGCCCCCTTACATGGAAATGTTTAGTGAAACAGTTATTGAACAGGGATCCTCCATACAACTCGGTAAATTGGATCCTTGTTCAGCGGTAAATTGTTCCTACTTAGTTTAAATACTATTGCAAGTATATGTCTACCATCACCAGTTCAACACAGCAAAGTTGCACGATACAGGCAAGATAGGTAAGCTGTACTTTTAGTAGTTTATGCTCACTGCTTGGTGTAATCTTTATTGGCCTGCAATTCTAGACACATCTTAAGGGAGCTTATAATACGTCTTGTAAACATGGCATGTCTACAAAGCTACAATGTCTTTACTGTGATGCTCTTATAATAATTAAAATAATTGATTTAAATTTGTTATTCCTAAGGTATTATACATATTTACATATTTATCGGAACATTAGAATTAGGATCATACTTATTTTACTGAATACTGGGCTGAGTCTAAACAGAAACAGTCAGATGTATTTAGGGATCATATAATACTATGAGATGTAATACTAAGGTAACAATTACCTAAAATAAAGTCTAGTAGGGGTTATTACATACCCACTTGAAATACGAAAGAACGATTATAGAGTAATTCTAGAACATCAAGTTGTCCAGAAAGTATGTTCCAAAAATAAACACGCTACATCTTTAAATGTTGCATTTCAAGTGGGCAGAGAGCGATTTAATTCGGGCAGCTTGTCAGTAACGTTTGTCTGGTTCTAAAAAGAACAGATTCTAGAATAGTCGGGTTATCGAGAGAGTAAGATAGTTGAGACTCTATGATGTCTAAGTAGTTTCACTATGTAACTTAAACAGTTATCTACTTATAATACCTCTCGGTTTCTAGCAGAACTGTTTCCGCTAAGTGCTAACACTTTAAATTTTCAGTAGTAAAAGTATTAAATGAACAATTTCTACATGGAGCTTACCGCAAACAGTGAATCCAAATCCAATTTCTTGTCGATGTATTATAATCTCTATCATGAGACCGGAGTTTAGCATGTGAGCATTGGGACTGTACAGGGTAAATAATATCAAGTTTAATAAACTGTTATATAACGAAATGAAATCTACAATACTCAATATTATAAATAATTAAGGAAACGAAACCATGCCAATTTAATCTATTTAACGCCAAAACTGCTCCCTCCGCATAACTTAATAACTGAAAGAAGAACCTCTCCAAAAGATATTATATAGTTATCATGGATCACGTTACGACATTAGTTTGTCTGGTAAAGATGTTGCAGTTAAATTGTCGAACATCGAATGGCACAAATTTGAAATTATTCAAAATATTCACTGAACTGGTTGAGAAGCAGTATTGTTATTATTATGCCAGAGTTCCCGGCATTGACTAAATGTCCAAAAATTTACTATTGCGCTCACGCTACCACTTCTGATCTAAGATAAACTGTCTAGATCTGTTTATGACGCTCTATATCACACGAAGAAATGATTAAATGGGTAATGAGGTTGAGATGAGCTTCACATGGTGTCCAGGGAATAAAAATGCTATTTTTAACGTCTTTCGTGTAGTATGCGTTATATACTGCAAGTTATTAATAAATATGTTAAACCTAGTTTTACGTTGTTGGTGCATCACTTCTGTAACCGTGGACACTTTTACACAAACGTCTGTATCATTGTGGCACACTCTAAATTTAAATACTGAACAGTCTATTTTAACGTAATCTACTGTGCTGTGTTCCAGCCGTGCATTGAAGCAGATTACCTATTTTTAGATTGCTACGTGACAGCGCAGTAAACCTTAGTTAAAATTGCGCTTTTATCCTAACGTCTATTTAGTGGCTAGGGTCTTTAGCACGGAATCCAGTTTTGTCTTTATGATCCTAAACATTACACCATTTATACCTTTAGAAGCTCCAATCCCAACAAGAAGCCTAATTCTAACACTACGCATAAACTCTGGTGTAGTGGTTCAATTTAGTTCTCAGTTCAAGAAATCGTCGTACAATTTATAGAAAAAATAGAGAAATATAGAATATAGTACAACACTACCAATAAATAATTGTGGCCGAATGTAGTTAGAACTTAGTGAAGCAATTCAAAATACATTGAAAATCAGAACTTTTAAAAGTCGTGGAGATTTGATGTTAAGATATAAGCTCCACAAAAAATCTCCTGAAATTCGTGAATGGAGGCTAACAGTGCAGAGGTGGCCAAATTCCGACAAAAAAAATCATAAAAACACTGTCGAATACTCGCACCACAACCATTTTATCCCCACTTGCACTTCGAGAAATCCATCTCAGGATGCTGCTCCATAAACTTCTTCATGGTGTCCTCTTTCTTCTGATCATCAGACGAAGGCAGACCAGCTGCCTTCTGTCTCTGATCGTACATCATTTTTTCAACCATAGACCGGGTTTCTCCATCAAGATCTCCAAGTTTAGAATTCTCAGGTTGTACTTTTTTGGTGCTGATTTCCTCGTCACCCTTGATTATACAACCCCACCACTCGACCTTGTTGAACTTCTCTAGTGAGAGTACCACTGCATTGTCCTCCAGGTGCCACAAGGCCTCATCAGTTAATATCTTGGCGTATAATTCTCCTTTGATAACAGGTTCATGCCCCTTTAATCCGACTGACAAAGATTTCTCTTTTATGTCGACCTTACAGTCCTTACTCTTTACTTTGAAGTTCACATTGAAGGGAATTTTAACCTCCAGCTCTTCAAGTGTTTGAGTGAATGAATAGTTAGGATAATTAGCACCATTGCCAGCGTTTGGCTCAAGTTTACCCTTCTCCGATTCCTCTCCTTCTTCAAGCTTGGTTTCGTCGACATGTTTGCTGAGGTCTTCTTTGGGAGGAGTGGGTACTACAGGTTTAGGTGCGGGTGTTGCTTTGGCACCTTCAGTCGTTATCTCTTCAATGGAAGCAGGCTCAACTTGGGGGACAGGTTTCTCGAACTGATCACTCTCTTCTCTAGCAGCTTTTTCCTTCAGAGCGTGATTCAGATGTTTCTTGAACGAGGTCATCACCAAAGTCTCAGCTATCGCTTTCTGAGCTCCGGTGTAAAAATCTGTTTTCCTCCGCAAGAATCCGAAGAATGTTTCAAAGAGAGGCTCGATGCCATTGTGTTGTTGAGCAATGTGCATCAGCATGTTGTCGTACTTTAACTCCTCGTCAGGGACAACCATGGCGCCTGCAAGAATTTATTATCAATTTTGAGGGAAAAAGCTAAAAACTCAGATTTATAATCATAACTTCTTAAATAATCAAGCATGAGTTTAGTTTTTTACAAATCTTTATGTAACTCTGTTGTAGTATAAAAATATCAATTGTCTCACGATTACTAAATTTGTAATGCTTGGGCCTTAGCATCCATACTGTAACATTCAGACTTTTTTGTATATCTGCTTATTGATGAAAATCATAATATATTATATGCAATCTAGAACGTATTGTTATTGTTAAACAGTGAAAGACAGTGCTGTTAAACTTGAAATACCCACAATAAAATTACTGAATATAAAAGAATTTTACGCACACAATATTTTGAAATCCATTTGATTATATCATATCACTCCCTATAAGTTATAAGTATTTACAATACAGAATAATTATATAAAGCATTACAGTAAATTGTTATTGATAACTCAATATTTTTATAAAAGCTGGTATGAAATATAAAAGCCCATAGTTATGAAATATAAAACATTTAAGTATAAAAATAAAACCCTCTCATGAAGATTAAAAAAGTCAAAATGATCTTAGATACTTAGATAGCGTACCTGAGAACTTAATTTGTCGACAAAATTTTCGTGATGTGCAGGCACATTGCATATTATGTAAAGATAGTCATGAGATTCAACAGATCTATTCAATAGAATCATGCAATGAATGAAAAGACAACTTTTCTGGTACAGCACTATAAATTACTTATAGAAGGAGATAATGTTCATCACCTCCCCACTTTTAGGAGGAACAAACCTGACCCGGTTAGTAAGACGAGATGGGAAGATAAGGAAATCCCCAGGCTTGACACTAACCTTGCAGTGATCATTAAAGTATACGTTACTCTCCCCATCACCTTCTGATAGTGAGATGAGCACAGTGTAGACTCCGTTACCCTCCAGAGCTCCTGTTGCTAGACTTGAGTTACTCATCCTCATAACAAAGGCTTGAAGTGGGTTACCCTCAGACTCGTAACCTGCAAACTTACGGTGAGTAATTGTCGGAAGATAATCTGTGCTGAACATCTCCCACCCTTTTTCGTAACCAAGGTCTTTGAATGCCAGAGTTTCCAGAACATTCCATCCTTCTGTCCAGGATCTAGAGGCCCACTTACCAGAGTGGGATGCTGCTTGTTTCATAACTTTAGTGAATTTTTCTGAGAAGAGCTCCAAAACGTAGACGTCCTCACAAGGATTCTGAACTGGGGTGGCTTTTGTGTAATCCCAGTCTCTCTGTCTGTGGTGATCCCACTTCATGTAGAAACTCAAGTAAAACGCTATTTTGTTATCTGGGAAGTGCTCCATCAAGGGGTAGGGTACAGTCTCATCTGTACGCCCGTTGAGGAACACAAAATCAGCAGAGTCAGAATTAAAGAAATAAAGATGGCCTGATTTTCGGATGGAGTTGCAGAAAACAATATCACTATTACGGTCATTGTAAGATGCATGGAAGAAGGTCAAGTCCTTCATCACCTCGGCTTTAACAAGGTAAGCACCACTGGCATATGGTACAACAAACAATCCGCTAGTTTGCCGTTGAGAGAGATCTTTGTAGTCCGGAGACCTCTTGTAAAAGCCATTAGCCACAGTGTCACCCCAGAAGTTAACAGTTGGGTCTGCATCATTGAGATCATTCACCACCAACGGAGCAATGACAGACACGTTGAATAGAACCAGTTTCCTGATACCTTCGTTGTTCACTGCTAACACGTTACTGTCTTGATGCCAAATCCAAGTACAGTTAAACTCCACACAAGTTTTGTTGACGGTATCGTACATGGCTCTGTCAGACTTTACCTCGGGGGAACTAGAATTGTAAACTCTAAAACCCATCTGCCTGGTCTTCCCTTTGTAACCTTCCACAAACTCGTTAATCACGTGATCCCTGTGCTTCAGTCTGTTGAAGATTACTATCACTCGCTTCTTGGAAAGCCATACCAAAGACTGAAACCTGTCTATCGCCATGTCTAACAAAGGAGTGTCCTCTTTGATGAAAAGAGCGGTTACCATCACATCAGTTGTTCCGTTATTCTCTTGGGCCTGAAATGGTCGTAGATTGCTCGTTGTTTACCTCTAATGTAATCAGGAGCGAAATGAGTATATGGTCGATACTCTGAGCCTCCGTCGACTCGCTTTCTTTCAGCTCTGAGAGCTAATTTCTCTAAGTCAAAAACACCTGGCACATAGTTAGTTAGGCGAGTAAAGATATTGTAGGAGGATGTGGAGCCCAGTAAAATGGGAGGTGTGTCACGTGTTTCAAAGTTGTAGAACTTGGTGTGATCGGAAGTGTAGCCCACCATATTAGGATACTTTTCCAGATTCAGGAACACCCAGCTACCTGTGTCTTGTCCTACTTTGAAGTTCAAATCACTCCACAGTCTTTCTAACATATCATCAACTGTGTCAGAGGGCACAGCGATTCCCTCAAGTTCCTTCAGCTTTTGCAATATTTGAAGCACGTTACCAGATTCACCCAGAATACATTTGAGGTCCAAATGCTCATTTTGAACAGACAAGTCAATAAGAACGTCTATTCCAGTACCCTTCCATCTTTCCATGATTTCAGACGTTGTTCCGGCAACAGACAGAAATTTACTGTCACAGTACAGGACACTGGTCGTAGACTTCGAGTCGATCTGCTGGATGAACCCCGAAACCGCAGATAGATCTGACTCATTATTCGTTGGTTTCTCTAAAACATCGACCTCTATTCCAGAGACATTAGCACTCCAGAGAAAACGTTTGATTCCATCGTACGGTGCTGTGTCTACTGTCACAAACTTCAAAGAGTTTCCCTCCGAACTTACTATAAAGCAAGCAAGCAGGATTACAAAGCTCGATGTGGACTTCATCTCATAATCCTAGTGGAATAGACATGAGGTTAAATCTGTAATTTATACAGTATAATTTATACAGTATAATTTATACAGTATAATTTATACAGTATAATTTATACAGTATAATTTATACAGTATAATTTATTCAGGAAAACTTTCAAAACATGAAATATCGGATAATTTTGACTACAAAATAAACGTTATGGTTATGACTTAATACAACCATTACAGCACTGTATATAAATGATTTAACATTAAAAGACTTAAATAATTACATTCAACGTGCACAATATAAGACATATTATCACACACGATCTGTAAAGGACTTACACAGAGCAGGATTATTTGTTTCACAAGCATGAGTGTTAAATGAAGTATACTTCAGATGCTACATTGATTAAAATGTTTCCTTGAAGCACTTTACGCGAGACGGCAACTGCTTGCAAACTCTTGCTTTAAACATACTTGATATATTCATTTCGTGCAGTTTGAGTTGGATTTCGTTGCAAGTAGCTAAATTGGGATGATAATTTGGAGTATAGCATTGCTCTCCTTTCTCGTCACAGTAGATGCTAACTGTGGGGGAATAACACCGGGGTTTGTGTGTAAAAAGGACTGTTGCTCACAAGATGAGGTAAATGAATTTGTTTTAATTAAATTTGGCGAATGTACTAAATACCTAAATACTGGTAAATCCATTTAATCTGTGCCGAGACAAAAGCCATTAGATGAAGTTGGGATAGTTCTTTCTATAAAATGTTTCTACCGAATTAGTTTATTACTTAAAATATTTGTTTCAATATAAGTTCAAACAAAGATTATTGGTGGATTATTAAATCAATTAAATCAGGAATCAAAATTGCTGGAAGTTGTAAAAGCAAAGTTCTACGAGAAAACAACAGAAGAAATTTCGGACAAGTTAAATCACGACCATCCCAACAAAATATTCTTCGACCTGTTTTATTCTGACACCCCTCGATACGCGATACCAGCCAACGTTGAAGCAGCTGCAAAGAGTGGGCGGTTTGACAGTGAGGTATTGGTGGATTATGAACTCATCAGGAAAATGGGCGTGACTAGGTTAGTGATACGGCCTATCTAAACGTTAAGTCTTATTACAAAGGGTGCATTTCAGATAAGGTATTATGGATTATAGACGGGTCCCTATCATAATCTTCGTTTGTAATTAAGTTCAACACTCATATTCTTGTTATTACAATAACCGCAGAATATAATATGTTTTGTCAGTCTACATATAAATAATCATGATCCGGTCATTCTTAAAACGTTAAAACGTTTTCAGCTTTATAAGTGACGAATGTAAGAGGACAGCTTTCATTGGAAGCTTTATCAGAAATACACAGTTGAAAATGGAAAAGTCACATGCGATCTACCGTGCTCTAGTAGTGGCTGACGAGGTAAACAATGTTCAATATTTAGTCACGTGACATCAAATAGATCAAAATGAGTTCCTCAATGAGTCAGTAGGTTTAAATGCAAAATATACCTTCAACTTGCAATCGCATTCTTTATCTGGTGTTATGTATTTGACTCGTGTAATCTTGATTTAATCTTTCTTTACAATTCTACAGATAAAGAAGGAAATTCTCAACTTCCCACTTAGTGAAAAGTGTTTCGACCATGCACTCAAAAACGGATTGTTTAACAGTCACAGCTGCAACTCTTGTGGAGCAGGAGGTGAGAATTTATAAATTAAACAATAAAGCAGTAAAAAATTTAATATGAAGATAGCATGACGAAACAGTATGATGTCATAACAGTATGACGACATAACAGTAACTAAAGCCGCCGTAAAATCGGGTAAAATGTCTGAAAATGAACGTTTCCTAAAAATAAACTGTTTCTGATAACGAACTATTTCTGCTTGCAGGGATGTTCCCCAAAATGAGGACTTGCACAGGACTGTGTGAGAACATTGTCAATGGTTGTTACTACGTTCTCACCAGAGTTTTTGCTCGAGATTACACTCCATTTAAAGGTAATATTTATTACAGAGTAGGTTAGATAGTATCAGTGGTAAAAAGTTTGAGTAGCTAAAGTATCAAAGCAATATTAATTATATTATAGACAGATCCTGAGAGCTTATAAATTCCAATCAATCACATCACTAAATAGGTAAGTATCAATATTATTAATTATTAAATAAAAGTTCCAAACAAGGGATAGTCAAAAAACAACGCCCAAGTCTAATCTTTCTCCAAAACAAAAACTAAATATCAAAACTTCATTATAATTTCTGCCAATATCTCTTATCAACAAGGAATTTAAAATTCAGAGAGTCTGGTTAGCCTGCTGAGGGAACATGCAAGAGAAGAACGTGCATTGTTGCGTAATGAAATCAAAATGTTCCTCACCGAAACAGATATTGCTGAGGGAGTTGCTTGCTCAGGACAACCAGCCTACGAGGTATAGACTATTAATATTACTACTTACAAATACTACACTAGGCTTCATAGGTATGATCATAAATTTAGATCCACTATTGACAAAACGGAAAGTTTTTTTTTTTCATTCAAGTAATCAATATTTCGTATAAATAGGTAGTTTTAATTTGATACCGATTATACAAAACATGACAGCAGCGCTGAAAGTTCCAAACTCTAGGTTGAGTATAGGTTGCAGAGATTGCTGGCAATTCCAAGACATGGAAGAGATCGTAAACTATCAAGCCAGTTTCGCATGTTATTGAGATCACCTGAGGTTATAGTTCCAGAATTTCTCCCGATACAACCTAATGCTCTCAATTTCTGTAGAAATCATGGACATCTTGCAGGTACAAGGACACTATTTAATTTTAATATATTAGAGGATTACACGAAGAAAATTAGGTTGATAATATTATTTATCAACTGAGTCAACCTCTATCAAAGCTACAATAGTGAATGATGGTATAGTCTGAATGAACTATTGTAGGGTAAATATCAAGGGAAAGCCAAGGTGAATACAAATACATGCAGTGCATTTTAGGCTCCAAGTCAGGCATGGATCCACAAGGACCAGATTTAAGGTTTCAGATTGCAACATACTAATACTGATATGACGAAGTTTTCTGTTCGAACAGATTATAATTTATATAGCCTCAGACAAACATTTTGATTATAATGATTTAATTGTATTTCTAGGGAATTCGAATTGCTTCAACGGAAATTCTGTGGGATTTTACTCAGGAGAAACACATCCATTGAATTCATCTGGACAGGAAAGAAATGACTTCAAAACTTTTGGTGGAAATTCTGAGCATTATGATAAATTAGCTACTCTACTGTAAGTGGTTTCGCACTTTGCAGCCTATTGTTTTTCAGTACTATTAATTCCAAAATATCAAAATTTTAAAAAAACAAACGATAGGCTTTTTAGATTTCAGATTTCAGATGTCCAAAATGTTCAAAAAAAGAAGTAAAAAGGAAACGTCATTACCTTGATAAGCGTCCAATTACTAATTAACATTATAAAATTGCACAGGAACAAGTTGACCAAAGTGACCGAAGAATTACAGTACCAAAGCAGCGTCTAAAGGACTTGAAAAAGACTGTTATTTTGCAATGATTATCAGACAAATACTTTTAACTGTCAGTAAACAAAGCACCTATCAAATATACTTGTTAGCTTTAAATGTTCAATTGATAAAACTGCTTCGTTAATCATTCTTGACATTGTACTGACAGTAAATATTCGTTTAAAATCAAAAAATTATGATTATCTAGTATTATGATTATCTAGTATTTTTATTTTAATTAAAAAACCAGTATCAATATTTATGTTTCATATAATTAAAATAATTTCAGCTAGGCTCAACTTGGAAATAGCTTCAAACTAATGTCCAATTATTAATTGAAAACTAAAATGTCTTTCTTGTGTTGTCACGTCTTACTTAGATCCCTTCAATGGTTTGCACTGACAACATTTTCCTTTAAACTTCGATGAATAAATTCAAAATCACAGTGATACAAATAGCATCTATTATTGATTGGCATGAAATAGGAGTAAATTTGTAGACAAAAGGGCTGAGGGCCAACAGATTAAATCCTTCAAAGCTGTCCTTGTTGCCCATGTCATCTAATGGGATTAGTAAATGGGCCATTGTGCTAAGACTACCCAATGCTATACTGCACTGGTCAGTTAAAACCCAACATCAAGCACAATCAAGCGCTAAATAGCAACTGCAGTTAACAATAGATGTCGATAGTTTACTGTCATCTTTTACAAACAGTTGAAATTGCAGGCAACTATTAGCGATTATGGTTGCTGATAAAAACACCCTGGGAGCCAGGAATTGGGATAGTAAAGCTACTGGATAATAATAGAGACAGTAATTAGCATCTCCTGAGACTTTGACTTCCTAAGTTCAATCCACTTAGTATAATTTATCAATTCTCTGATATTGTGAGCCGTGAGGTTCATCTACTTTGCTAAATTAAATTTAAATCAAAAACAAAGAACCGAATATGATCATTTAATTTTAATTGATATATCAAAATTGCTGATTGGGTACCTAATCTGACTAGCCTTATCGGCTGACTCTATTCGTCAGCATGCACCTGGGTAACAGTCATCTAATCAGTTCATGGGGTGATCAGCTGACATGGTGGATCACATGATCGTCACACAGTCCCTGAATGAGTAAGAGCCTCGAAGCTTTGGGAATCGAGTTGGCTTTGAATTAAATTGGTTAAACGTTAAAATATGCTCAGCATGGCTTTTTAAAGCCATGCTGAGCATATTTTAAATAACCTTTTAAGGAATCCTATCAGTGCCCATTGTGGCAGAAATTGAATGGACCAAACGAAATTTTTAAATGATTACAGTAGATCTGAGGTGAGTAATAAACCAAAGTTTTTTTTGCATAAAAAGTTTTTCAATGGAAACCCCTTATACACCACTTTGTTTTACTACAAAAATATTTAGTGTGATAAAGACAATTGGTCAATGGTCAGATCAGCAGATTATAGTAATAACTAGTAGTGGGGCGAAGCAATATTGTTGCGAATTCTAAAAATTAAGTGAATAAAATAGCAACGGTCATTCAGTGGCGTAACGTTAGTGGCTGATTTAACTTGGCGCCCCCCGGCGGCTCGAAAAAGTCGCCCAAATTTTTTGTGTCCCTAAAACAAAACAAAAAAAAAAGGGTACCTTTTTTTGGCACCCCTACAGCTTTTTTGCGCCCCTGGAGCAAAAAAAGGACCCCAAAAATTTTTTTCACACCGACTGAGCGCTAAATTGGACAGGGGAATACACCAGGGGCGACTTTTCGTTGAGAAAGGGCGCCTTATTGGCGCCCCCTGAGGGTGGCCGGGGCAGCGTTACGCCACTGCGGTCATTGTCCAGCTATAAGGTTGGACACCTTCGAAAAATAAAAACCGATACAATAAATGCAATAAAAAGTTTTAAAAGCCAGGGTAGAAAAAACCCTTTACAATATACGAATTGGTTAATTAAAATAAAGTTCACACATTCACAAGCTCACATCACTACAACAAGCAGTTCAGACCCTCACCCAACAAGCACTCCCTGACCTTTTAAGAAGTACTAGGAGTGTTGATTAGGTTGAGGTCCAAATCATTTATTGCAGCGGGTGTAAGAGTTCTGGAACCTCTGAATTGATATTATACAAGTTCTGAGCAGATCAAAGCATCGTCTGCGCCTGACAAATGACATCACATCACAGTATCTTTGGCCTTTCTTAAGGCTGATCTTTTCTGTGAGATGTTTCAGGAATTGTGAAGCCAGGAATTGTGAAACCTCCTGTGGTACTGAACACCAAAGGCGTGCAAGTAGCCTTGGTAATAGAATAACTTTTAAAGTTTTTCAAGTTGTTGCTATAATGGTAATTTCAGCAATGGTAATTTTCTAGCTAGAAGGATAGACACCCTCGAAAAATGAATAAACCAATTCAATAGATAAAGATAAAATCCAGAAATTTACATCACAACAAAAAGCAGTCTAGACCCGGCCCCACCTAACATTATAATTCAATATGTATTCATTCTTCTGTGGAAAATAAAAATTTTATTTTACTTAAAAAATTGTATTTTACTTAACAAGCACTCCATGGCCTGTTTAAGGTTTAGGAGTGTTGATCAGGTTAAGATCCAAATCACTTATCGCCGCTATTGTTGCTATAATTAATTTAAATAAAAATGTGTTGTTTTCTTGAAAAATTTGTTGTTTTCTTGTTGAACTGGGCTTGAGGGTGAAGTACCCTTACATCTGTGAATGCCCTGTCCAACGCGATGCGACGCAACGACGACCAGAACGATCTCGCGCTGATGTCCAGTCTAGCTCCACCTTGTCTATTTGTTCCATTGGATAAATTTAGTGTGTGTGGGACGGACAGAAGTTGATGTTCTGTTTCAACATCGTTAAAACAGTATAAGTAGTAAGGAGTTTTGCTGTTGTATCTGTAAATGAATCGTGTCTAAGTGAAAGGTAGCCTCCAATTTTGCAAGAGAAGAGAGGGAATAGAACAAAATTATCAAAAACAACATTCTAGGTTTCACTGATTTCTGGGCCACAATATGTAATGTCACAAAATTAGATTCTAATTGTTGCTCCTAATCTGATAATTCTAATGACAGTGACTGCTCCCTATTAAGAAAACTAACCGACCAACAATTTCGGTCGAACCCTAAAATTACTAATACCAAATGTAAACCCCACATATGCGTGTAAAATCAAATCAAATCAAGTCTCCAAGTCTCCAAATCTTCTCTCTGCTCTCGGACTTTGTTCTTTTGAATGGAACTGTTTGTATACTTTAACAAATAGTGATTGTAACTTAGAGATAAACTGCTATTGATTGAAATAAATTTTCGTGCACATACAGAATGAATGGTTAATAATTTAATATATATATGTAGACCAAGCTCTGTGCACGGGATGCTTCCTGGAAGAATCCAGTTCTTTTAGTGGGGCACCCTACCTAAAGCCAAATTGAGATATAATAATCATATTCCTAGGGGAATAATCAGAAATCGAATACCAATCAAATAATATGATATATAGGAGTAGTAACCATATTTACTATGCAAAATGCCCCAACCTCATAGTGTAAATTTATATAAAATTCAAATTCCATACCACCACTAAACCCCAACAGTCAACACATATATATATATATAACTCTAAAACTCTGGTCACAAGAGCAACTGCCTAAACGTGCAGAAGTGAAAACAAATAAATAAAATACTAGCAATCCTTTAAATTCGCAATAAATAAGTTCGTTCAATGTCATTATATAATTCTAAAACCACATATATGTGACCAGTAAATAATTTAATTGGTCTATAGACTACTGTATGAAATTCTCAATATAAACTTTTAAACAATAATAAATTAATTAAAAAACACACAACAACCTTTGGTGTGTAAGAATGATTAAACAGCCTCATTTTGACACAAAATATCTTCATAATATTATAGTATATGCTATAATATTAGAACTGTTAAGTTGAGTTCAGGTAACAGAATTTAACTGTAATAGAACCTCTGCTGTGTTATCCACTGTTGAGATGTAGCCATATCTTCGTCCGGTCTAACATTGACCCCGGCTCATGAAATATATGCTTCGTCCGGTCTAACATTGAACCCGGCTCACTAATCATAGGGATGGTGGAGTTATGGTAGTTGGAATATAATCAACTGTTTAAAGTTTTATCTCTATTTGAAGGAATTCTTCTGCATCCTTTGTTATTTCCAGTGCTAGATCAAAGAACTCACGAAGTCTGCTCCATGATATCAACATTGAGTTCCCACCATAGCCTTGGTTTTTGATGTTGTGGAAAGGGTGTCTTTCAAGAAGCTCACTCATTTTGTTCCTTTTATCTGCTTGTACATCAGGACAGTCGGTAAGCAGGTGAAGTGAATTTTGAGCCCCTCGCCTACAATCACACAGTGGAGAATCAAATTTACTGCTTTTGAAGCGGTGAAGAAATTCATTCATTATGTTGTTCGGATAGAACAAGCTTAGAAACAAGGTTTCAAGTTGCCTTGATGTTTTGGGCGGAAACTTGAGCTTTGTGGCGCTCACTGTAGGTGCCTCTGTATACCCTTCCAGCTGGTACTGGCTGTTTATGGACGATTGCCAAAGCTGTTCACTGTAATGTTTCATCACTGATTTACTGTAGCTGCATCCTTTTATTGATAGACTGGTGAGTTTTTCTAGATCATGGTTATTTATGATTTTTAGATCCTCATTAGTGAAGTGTTCAGGAAGTATCGAAGATTTCCACAATAGAAACTGAAATACATCTTTTACTTTTCCAGTTAGTGCGCTGTAACTGCCTGATTTCATTTGGTCATCAATAAGGTGTTTCAGTGGATCCTCTTTATTCGGGAATATATTCAGTTTAAGGATGTGCTTCACTGAGTTCACTTTGTTTGATATGTTGAGTGGCAACACACCAAGTATCATTTCAGCTGTAGTTAGTCTTACATTGAACACTGCACCCAAAGCTGCTTTTATAGTCCTATACCAAGCGCTTTCAATTTCTTTGATACTTCTATTATTGATCCAGACAGTTCCAGCATAGTGGATCCGTGAATATATGAGAACTTCAATTAGCCTTACAATGACATGTTGTCTGAATCCCCAGTTGCGGTTTGTATACTTGCATATTGTAGCCCACCGGCCAAGTATCTTTCTGTTAATATCCTTTGCGTGCTCGATGTAGGTGAGCTTTCTATCCATTATCAAGCCTAGTACTTTGGTCTTTTCGACGAATTTGATCTCGTTGCTACCAAGACGAAATGACAATGGAAGAAGCGTTTCATCGTTTTCTGCAGTTCCGAATCCAATTAGTTCAGTTTTTCCGGGATCACAGTTTATTATCATTCTCCATGTTATACTCCATTTATAGATAGCATAACATGTCATCTGTAGATTGAGAAGACACTGGTGTGTTGTTTCAGTCAACACAACAGCCCAAGCAAAATTAAATAACTTCTTATATACTGTCATACTACAAATTAATTAAACATTTGAAATCTGTTAACCAGAGAATAAATTTCTAAACCTAATGCAAGTGAAATAATTTAGATGCAATAATGAATGCCTAATATGAGTATCATCTGTCAATGTCCTTGTAGAACAGTCTGTACAAGAGATATGAGTAACTAATATAGAAGGAAAAAAAACAGGAAGTTGTCGTCTGTTGGAAAATAAATAAAATATCTAGTATATAAATTATTATCAAACATGTCAATCTTACAAATGTCAACAATCCTAAAATAATTTAGAACCTAAACGTGATCCTTTGTAAGATTATATGTCCCAAAAGTCAAATTGACTTGTACTCAAGTATAAAGTCGAACAATTTACTCCAATAACCACGGTTACTAGCAAGTTCTCTCAAATGAAGAATATCATCATACGACTCCAGCAAGATGAAACGCTTCCAGAGGTCAACCTTCAGGTGGTGTAGGAGGTTACGTCTGTGAGCCCCGAGTCTACCAACTTCACTACACATCTCGACAGCAAAGCACAGCGCAGCTTGAGCTGGTGATCTTTCATCGCTCCTCAGTATGTGTCCTAGCATCTTCCACCTAGATAACTCAGCACGCTCAGACATAGGGGTAGAGTTACTCTGTTTGTATAGGGTATCTTTGGACATCATACTGCGTGGCCAGCTGACATTCATGATCTTTCTGAGGTGGTTACGGTGACATGCATCTAGTTTGTCCCAGTACGATTTAGGCATTCCCCAGCAACTAGAGTTATACATGAGGATAGATACTACTTGGGCCTCATAGACCTTCAGCTTCTTCTGTAGGGGGATCTTACTCTGGCACCAGACCTTCTTGAAGTTCTGGAATGCTACATTGGCTAACATGATTCTTCTGGTGACATCTTTCCTACTTTCTAGCAGAGAACCCAACAACTTGCTACTGCACCATTCTTCATTCATTCTAAGGGGTTTACCATCATCCATGACCTCATCTTTCCCAGCTATGTAGACGTGTACAAACTCTGTCTTTGATTCATTAATATTCAGATTCCACTCTTTGAACACCTTAGTAGCGACAGGGAGGAGGGCTTCTAGAGCATCTTTGTCTTCACCAAGATAGTCGATGTCATCAGAGTAGGCATCTTCTTCAGGCATGCCGCTAGGACTAATAGGAGGGGTTGGGCGCAGCGTCACGGCACGCAGGTGGTAGCAGGCACCAGCTAGAGTGATTGTGAAACAGAGGCCTGAAACACTATCACCTTGGGGTCCTCCATTGGTGCTGATGAATTCAAGGGAGGTAGCGTTGTTGACTCGCACCTTGATCTTGGTGTTGCTTAGGAGGAATCTCACTAGTCTGATCTCATCTCTTGTGCACCCTGCGTCCTCTAGGAGGTTGAGCACAGTCTGCCTACTGATAGTATCGAAGGCACTGGACATGTCTAGGCCCATCTTGTGGAAAGACCACTCTCTTTCTTTTACGATGCTGATCAACATACGGTGACACCATACCAGGTCTCCACAGCTTCTCTTCTGCTTGTAGGCAGCTTGCCATGGACCTGTGTAAGCGTCTACCTTTGCTTCAATTCTCCTGAGTGTAATGAGGGATAGCAGCTTACGAGCACAGTTACATAGTGTCAGGGGTCTGAGGCTTTTCAGTTCACCAGGAGTCTTGCCAGGCTTTTGAAGAGGGGTGATGAAACATTCTCCGACAGCGTCAAGGAACAGGTTCTCTTCAAAGCAGGTGTTGATGATTTTGGCGTAATGGACACATAGCGCACTCCTACCATACTTGAGGAGCTCATTGGGGGTATTGTCAGGTCCATTGGCTTTACCGTTCTTGAGGCGTTTAGCAGCGGTTTTTACCTCATATTCTGTGATAGGGCAGTCGAGGGGAGAAGGGGGACCTTCAAACGGATCAAGGGCAGGTTCATCTCCAGTCAGCTGTTCTTCATACCAATCGCGGAGTATTTCAGCTTTAGCGAGGTCTGTACCAATGGGGTACCCATCCTTATTGTGGACAACTATAGGCTTTGTCTCTTTGGTCTTAGCTAAGGATCTCACAGCTTCGAACATTTGACGCGTGTCGTCAGTTGATGAAATTTCTTCAGCTAACTGGTCAGCCTTAGCACACTCTAGCTCCTTCAGTCTCTTTTTGATGTCTTTACCGAGCTTATTTCTCCGTCCTCGCAGTACAGAGCTATCACAGGGCTTGTTGGTGCTTGCCAGGGCGAGGCGTATATCGTGTCGTTCTGCGGCTAGGGCAACAACAGTAGGGTCATTAGAGAAGAAGCACTTATTCTTAGCCTTCCTGTAGCCTAGGGTCTCAGCAGCTGACTTATGAACTTCACCCAGTACTACTGCAAAGTCCTTGTTGGGATCACCTGAGGGTATTACAGTAGAAAGTCTACTAGCAATGTCATGTTCATACGTTCGTTTACAATCGGGGTCTGATGTGAGCCTGCGAGTGTCAAACATTTTAGGACGTTTAGGAGCTTTAGCGTAGAACAGGGGGCGTTTAGACAATTTAATCGTACATATTACAAGCCTATGGTCAGAACTAAACACCATACCGTTGTGCGACCTAGCATCTCTGAGCAGACATTTACTTCTTCTTTTACAAAGAATATAATCTATCTGAGTAAACACTTTACGCTTTTTACCAGACTGACCTTTGACATTAACCAAACCCTCGTAAGTGGTCCGATGACTCGCACGGTGAAGGAAGGCAGTATTAGCAGCAAACAAGTCGTTTCTACACATGAAGTTGAGAAGGTAGTGACCGTTGTGATTCCTTTTACCCATACCGTGCCTGCCGACATAATCTGACACACCATTTACATAGTCTGAGTCATCAAGCTTACCCAGCCTACCGTTGAAATCTCCCATCACAAACAACTCGTGTCTTGAAGGAACGACAATAGCTGAACTGACTTGCTTGTACAATTTCCTGACAATTTCTGGTCTGAGTTCTGATTTGGTGTTGGTGGGGCAGTACACATTGACGGCTCTAAACATGACGGGTTCACCGTGCTTTACAGGCAATCTGAAATCTATCCACGCAACACGGTCACTAACACGATGACGTCAGGCATATATTATTATATTTTTGTACCAATGTTCTAGCACCAGCTAGAGTGATTGTGAAACAGAGGCCTGAAACACTATCACCTTGGGGTCCTCCATTGGTGCTGATGAATTCAAGGGAGGTAGCGTTGTTGACTCGCACCTTGATCTTGGTGTTGCTTAGGAGGAATCTCACTAGTCTGATCTCATCTCTTGTGCACCCTGCGTCCTCTAGGAGGTTGAGCACAGTCTGCCTACTGATAGTATCGAAGGCACTGGACATGTCTAGGCCCATCTTGTGGAAAGACCACTCTCTTTCTTTTACGATGCTGATCAACATACGGTGACACCATACCAGGTCTCCACAGCTTCTCTTCTGCTTGTAGGCAGCTTGCCATGGACCTGTGTAAGCGTCTACCTTTGCTTCAATTCTCCTGAGTGTAATGAGGGATAGCAGCTTACGAGCACAGTTACATAGTGTCAGGGGTCTGAGGCTTTTCAGTTCACCAGGAGTCTTGCCAGGCTTTTGAAGAGGGGTGATGAAACATTCTCCGACAGCGTCAAGGAACAGGTTCTCTTCAAAGCAGGTGTTGATGATTTTGGCGTAATGGACACATAGCGCACTCCTACCATACTTGAGGAGCTCATTGGGGGTATTGTCAGGTCCATTGGCTTTACCGTTCTTGAGGCGTTTAGCAGCGGTTTTTACCTCATATTCTGTGATAGGGCAGTCGAGGGGAGAAGGGGGACCTTCAAACGGATCAAGGGCAGGTTCATCTCCAGTCAGCTGTTCTTCATACCAATCGCGGAGTATTTCAGCTTTAGCGAGGTCTGTACCAATGGGGTACCCATCCTTATTGTGGACAACTATAGGCTTTGTCTCTTTGGTCTTAGCTAAGGATCTCACAGCTTCGAACATTTGACGCGTGTCGTCAGTTGATGAAATTTCTTCAGCTAACTGGTCAGCCTTAGCACACTCTAGCTCCTTCAGTCTCTTTTTGATGTCTTTACCGAGCTTATTTCTCCGTCCTCGCAGTACAGAGCTATCACAGGGCTTGTTGGTGCTTGCCAGGGCGAGGCGTATATCGTGTCGTTCTGCGGCTAGGGCAACAACAGTAGGGTCATTAGAGAAGAAGCACTTATTCTTAGCCTTCCTGTAGCCTAGGGTCTCAGCAGCTGACTTATGAACTTCACCCAGTACTACTGCAAAGTCCTTGTTGGGATCACCTGAGGGTATTACAGTAGAAAGTCTACTAGCAATGTCATGTTCATACGTTCGTTTACAATCGGGGTCTGATGTGAGCCTGCGAGTGTCAAACATTTTAGGACGTTTAGGAGCTTTAGCGTAGAACAGGGGGCGTTTAGACAATTCAATCGTACATATTACAAGCCTATGGTCAGAACTAAACACCATACCGTTGTGCGACCTAGCATCTCTGAGCAGACATTTACTTCTTCTTTTACAAAGAATATAATCTATCTGAGTAAACACTTTACGCTTTTTACCAGACTGACCTTTGACATTAACCAAACCCTCGTAAGTGGTCCGATGACTCGCACGGTGAAGGAAGGCAGTATTAGCAGCAAACAAGTCGTTTCTACACATGAAGTTGAGAAGGTAGTGACCGTTGTGATTCCTTTTACCCATACCGTGCCTGCCGACATAATCTGACACACCATTTACATAGTCTGAGTCATCAAGCTTACCCAGCCTACCGTTGAAATCTCCCATCACAAACAACTCGTGTCTTGAAGGAACGACAATAGCTGAACTGACTTGCTTGTACAATTTCCTGACAATTTCTGGTCTGAGTTCTGATTTGGTGTTGGTGGGGCAGTACACATTGACGGCTCTAAACATGACGGGTTCACCGTGCTTTACAGGCAATCTGAAATCTATCCACGCAACACGGTCACTAACACGATGATATTGAACAATGTATGGTACTAGCCGCTTTGATACCACAAACCCCAGTCCTGCATAACAGGCATCCTTTTGTTCAATGATAATCAACTTATTGCCACAGGGTAACATTGCTTCAGATGGCTGAGTGATCTTAGTTTCTTGAAGGGCTATAACGTCTAATTTATATTGAGTACAGTCACGTCCTAATATATGTTGGTCTACTTCTTTGCTCAGCCCACGAACATTGAATGTTGCAAGGGCTAGAATGAGTGAGAGAGGGATCAACTTAGGGACGATGAGTAGAGGGTTAGATGCTGCAGCAGGGGTAATCTGTGTCTCCCTGCTTCTGCTGATGTGCCTGACGTCATCACTGGTCATTCCACCTAAAAATTATATGGAATGACCAGTATATAAATTAGAATATAAAATAACATTCGGTCAATGTGTCGTCAATAAACTGTACAATTATCAAATGTTAAAACTGTACTGGGTGATACAGTCACCAAAAATAAATACTAAGTATAATAAGTTAATAAATTAAATGTGGTCTGTAAAACTACCACTAGGTATAATAGGTCAATAAATTAAAAGTGGTTTATAAAACTACCACTGTGCGAACCCCTTCTCCAGTTAAAACATGTCAGTCATGTGCAGAATCAATCAGAATGGTAAGGTGGTAAAAAAGGGAATATCCTTTCGACACTTCAATTATATATGCCTCAGATTTAAAAGAAATAGAAGATACTTAGTTATCGTCGACTATGATTGCAGTGTAAAATTTGTCATATGAATTGTCGACGGTATAATAAGGGTCTGTTGTTATAGATGAGAGTAGCTGTTTCTTATACGAATCACTAAAGCTTTTAACATCGGGCAGATTTCGTAGATCTGTTGGAACATTATTCCAACATATATATATATATATATATATATATATATTATTATATTTTTGTACCAATGTTCACCTAACTTAACGTCTCTCACTGACACCATCGCCCGGCAATCAATTTTGAATCAAAATTTATTAACGATCTGACTACAGACTAGCGATCAACGTTCCCCTTAGCTCAACGGAGGGGGTAATCAGGGCACGTGTTAATGAAAAATGTACGTGTCCTACCACAATCCCTTCTGTTGGGTTACACGTTTATTGGGGACCGAGATCGCTAGCGTGTTACTATAAGCAGTATATGTAAAGTAACATAGGTGATAGGTGATAGGCAATATGAAATTACAAATCTTATTTTATCCCATGGACTTATCAATTAAGGGCTGGTTGTGGTGTCATCGTTTGTCGTACTCAAAACGTTTCGCGGACCGCGGTTGCGAATGCCAGCCCATCGAGGAAAATCTTTTTACTTTTTTTAAACCAATATAAAGTTTACTGGGCCGCGCTCAGCCTGTCATTCCGCCTAATCTCTATGTTTATGAACATAATAGCCTGAGGTCCCCAGGTAATATAAAGTATGATTAGTCGAATATAATATTGAGTTCAAACATTTTTGTTACGGCGACTGAATCGTCGATGGGCCGACAAATATTTGTTGTCGAGTTTCTGTAAATGCGCAGGGCACCTTCAAGCTTAAATTATTCACCTTACTGAGGCAGTCAACCAACGCGCGGCTTTATTTTTATGATATGATATGTTTTGATTGTTATTAATAAATACCAAAATTTAAATTTGTTTTCCAAAAAAATTTGTTTTCCAAAGTAATGTTGAATACTCATATCTACATGATTATTGATTTAATTTAGGAGTTGTATATAAATATCTTTGACTAAGTTTAATTGTCAATGAGAATGCACCACAGCACTTCGAGCGTGCTAATAAATCACTCTACAGTCGATCTTCGAGATTGTTCTAAAAGGGCCCCCGACGGTTGTAACCAACTTCAATCGATGTATTTTCGGACGCTGATTCCGAATCACCCCCCATGACATAGGGTTAAAATGCTCCCCTGACGAGATATTGGCGAAAAACTGTCTCGATCACGTGATATGACCGTATAAGGAAGTTAGTCTAATTTCTCGTTAGGGTTAGGGTTTCAGCATATGTTTTTGTTAAGGATTGGGTTAGGGTTAGGGTTGGGATCAGATTAGAGGGTTAGGGTTTCGAAAAGTCGTTCAGAACCAGCTAGAGAACAAATTGAAAAAGTCACGTGACAGTCGAGTGTAGAGTGATTAATCAGGCTCTTACTAATTCGCTCGCCCAAAAATTTCACGTGACTTTGGTTTTTATGGTTTTGCAGCCGTACAAAACGGTTTTACATAAACCCTAATCCCTTCTTCTTTTGATTGGTCGGCGTCGACTGTAAGCCTTCCTTGCGGTGGCTTTCACAACGCGTCCCCATTCTCCAACTCCTGCTGCTAGAGAGAGAGACTCCCAAATTATATACCATAATTATATTATACATAGATATCGACAACAGACTCCGAGAGTCTTGAAGTTCTGTTACCACCGCCCCTGGTGCAACCCCTTACGGGTTAACGATGAGGAGACAGGGACTTCCAGGGACGGTCATGGCCTGCTACATGCAACCTAAGATGGCAAGTACGTACGGTACGTACCTTTAAAAATAGCTGTACGGTACGTACTTTTAAACTTGGGCTGAAAGGTACAATGCTTGGAATTGCAAAAAGATGCACAAAAACCACGTTCACACGACAACTTTCATGGAAGCTGAATTCGCTCATCGCTGCATTTCAATTTATACCATTAAATTTAGAGCAGTTGTACAAGAATGTTCCAGAAGCAAGAAGGGTTGGACCATGTGACATTGGATTTGGCGCTTTGAATTATGTTGGTTGAAAAAGTTGGCAGATGTTGTTTACGCGATTTTTAGCGCATCCTCATTAATGTGTGAAACAAACTTTAGAGACTACGAATATCTTATTATATGAATATCTTATTATATGAATAAAAGAAGGCTGAGGCTGAAGCCTCAGCTTGCTGAAAAACTAGTGTTTATTTACTCCAATAAGCACATTAGAATGTGATACTGATTTTATCTGTCACTGTTAATTTTTATCTCTCACTGTTAATTTA